ATCATCATATGGAAAATGTTCTACATCTACTTTTTCATCAGCTATTCTCATTAGGTTGCTCAAATGCGTATTTGTTTCGTTTTGATCGTTTCTACCCACATTTGTTTCATTTTCATTTGTCCGTTTCGGAGTAGAAGATATTGGCTTTGCAAGGTATTTATCCATCTTACATTATCGAGCAAAAAATTTGAACGTCTTACATGAAGAAACCTTACCTAAGGTGAACAAGTGGTTGCAGAGAAATGCGTTCTGAAAGAGGTTCCGTGGCTCGGAAGAATGGTTTTCTGTTGTTCTTAAAGGTTCTGAACAATACTGGTAAATAGGGAAGCTAGATAATGGGGCAGATGTTGAAAATAATAAAAGATCCAGGAAGAAAAGTGAAACGGATTTTATTCTAAATGGCGCAAATGAGATTTTTTTTCAATATGCGAGAAATTCGCGAATTTTGAAATTGGGCAAATTTCTCGCGGTAATCATTTTTTCATTGCGAGAATATAAAAAAATATGCGATATTCTCGCTCTGTAGTGAAAACACTGTCAATAGAGTAAAAAAAAAAAAAATCCCACATGGGTTTTCCCAGAACATTCACCCTTTTTATTTTTTTGACGGTTAAAACCATAACAAGAAGGGATTATCGTAACAACCCTGCATTTAATCCAAATAAATTCATAATGTGATATTGCCCATTTTTATAAATCATGGATACATTATTGTAATTAATATATATATACATATTCTAAAGTGGTAGTAAATTTATGAAATATTTATTTGGTTTTAAAGCTTACATTGTTTCCAGTTCATTGCCAATATTTAAATTTTGTGAAGATCTTTTATCATACAGTATAAAATTTGCTATGTTATAAATAAAATAGAATAGTTTTAAAGCTATCGATTTAGACATGTATTTCTACCATTATTCTTTTCAGCTTCCAATTTTTTGTTGTATAGGGATTTAGTAATCAACTATGTCAACCTTCATCTATTGAAAGGTACCTCATAATAGAATCAAGTTAACATGTCTTATATACTAGTGAATTGGTATTCAATATTTATAGTGGTAGTTACGCCACATTATTCCCCTTCCAGAATTTTATCTGTGATAGAATTCAATGAACGGATACCACTAGTTGATTCATGCTATTTATTTTTTCATTTTTTAATATCAATTTTGCTCATTATATTTTTTCTTCATAGCATTTCGCCCATTATTTTTTTATAGCAATTTTTCCCCCTTCATTTTTCGTTTATAGCATTTCGCTCGTTTTTCCCCCCCTTCATTTCTTGGTTAGATCATTTTGCTCATTATATATATATTTTATTTACTTCACCGGATTTCTTTTTTTTCTTTCTTAGAGCAGTATATTTTTAAGCAAATCAACTGCTTAATGTGAATCATCCATCAATGGGTGCAAGTTCATAACACGTCCACAGATCACTATTATAGGGATTTAATTATTATGGAATACGTCATCCTTCATCTATCAAAAAGTACCTCAAAAAAGTCAAGTTAACCTGTCTTATATACTAATGAATTGGTATTCAATATTTATAGTGGTAGTTACGCCGCAGTTGTTCACATACAAATTTGAAGAAGATTGATTTTTTTTATTTGATAATAAATGTATCTTTAAACAACCTACAAGAAAAAGAACAAACAAAATTTCATAGCAGATAATTCTTTAAGTGTCTAATCACCGATTGTCATAAATATTAAGCACTCAATCTTGTATTACAACCTGAGGTTTTACTTACTTTATTTGATGCTTATATATATGTATAATATTAAGAGCTTGAAAATTGAAATTCAGCAATACAGTTGCACCAACAAGAAGTAAAATTCAGACAGCTGGATTTTGCACGTTTGTAAATATAAATAAATAAATAAAGTTAAAATCAAAGTTAATATTGTTAGAAGGAATCAACAAAAACTAAATAAAATATTAATGCATCGTAAAAACCTTTGAGAACATTCATTCTATTCAAATTTTCAATCGAAGTTCTATAATTTATTCGAATCAATATTTTAGACAAAAATTATATTTTTCAAATTTTTTAAATCAAAACTTTTTGTATCTTAAACACTGTATCCGTGTTTACTTTCCATATCCATCTAGACAGTTCAATAAGTTGCGTTTTTAAATTTTGATACATAGCATTCTATTCTATTTGTACTTAAACCCATTCAGTTTATTCCGATTGATCGGCTTGAGAAAATATCTACATTATGTTTTTCTTCTTTAACAAATCAAAACAAATAAAAATTCTGCTATTTCATATGCTTTAATTTACATTACAAAACAATGAAAAAGTTTAACAATAATAACCTCATGTTTATTATGATTTTAGCAATAAGATTATTAAGTGTCTATATTGTTCAAACATTTTTTGTTCCTGATGAATTTTGGCAGTCCTTAGAAGTTTCTCACAAATTGACTTTTGGGTACGAATTAAATGCAGCAATGGTGTTTCTTTTCTATCACATCATATAATAAAAAGATTTATTTAAAAAAAATTTAACTGTAATGTTCATAGAAGAAAAGTAAAATAAATAAATATTTAACTAAGCAATGTAAATAAAAATCAGATACTTTAACTGCACAAATTTTTTGGTTGTCTAAAATGATTTAAATTCCCATATTTACGGCCAAAATTCCTTTATGGCTCAAAATAAGATTCAACATTTAATTTTTAACTGTAGAGCATTTATGTTTAGTGAATTATAAGTGATTTTATAAATAATAAATTTTAAAAGTTTTTTAAATTGCAAAGCCCCAGTTTTTTTACCTATGTCCAATTATCCTGAGTTGTAATAATAGAATATAAAAAGTATTCAGATTTTCTTAAAACCATGTGGCAATGAATAGCAAGAGCTGCCAAGAATCGTCACGCAATAGATTGACAGTTAAATTGTGGCAAATAAATCAAGTGTTAAAGCGATTGTTGAAATGTGGTATTTGAATCTCACAAGTAGTAATAATATTGCATTAAGAATGTTAGGATTTTAAAAAAGGGGAAAAGCGTAGGAATATCTGCCGAAAGAACGATGAGAAAAGAAAAAAATACCTTAGATTTGTTATGAAATTTACTCAAGTGTAGGGCTGATTTTACTATGCGATTAGAGTGTCGTTCTAATACATATTAAAAATATGAGGATTTTAAAAAACATGTGGAATTGCTATGCAATAACTGTAAAAAAACAATAAAAAATTCTTTGGATTTACTATTAAATTGGCACAAGTGAAGTACAAAAAAGGGATTATTAAAATGTGAGATTCGTGAGTCGGAATAATATGGTATTTAAATTATCTAGATTATAATAACTATGTGGAAATTTGACGATAACTGCCAAAAACACGATCAAAAAGTCACTTGAATAAGCGAAAAAATGGTCACAAACAAATTATTTCAACAAAAATAATTGGATTTACTATATTTTTGCCTACTGACATCTTGAGAAATTATAAGAGTCTTGGAGATGAATATAAAGAAAATTAATTAAAGAAGAACCTGTGACTTAAAAAGCAAAAGAAGAAAAAAAAAATAGAGTTTGGTGAGGGTCAGAAATATAATTTGTTAATCTAACTCGCAAATTTTTTATTTAAAAATACATAAAATCTTCAGTGATTACAAAGAAAATTTGTAAGACATTACTCTTTGCTTAAAAATATCTAGTATTTTCTTAGAAAATCACAAAAACCAATGTACCACCTTAAACTTTAGAGGTACCTGAAAAATATAGGGTCCTTGGGCCCCAATCGTCTTTCTCTTAATCCGGCCCTGCAAATGATGCATGATGACCAGGGCCGGATTAACCTATAGGCACACTAGGCACGTGCCTAGGGCCTACGAAATTCAGGGGCCTACGAAAAAATTGGGAGTACGAAAAAATTTGTTGACAAAAGTAATTTAGCTTTAAAAACAACAAGTGTATTTTGCACAAAATTATGAAGATACAAATCAAAATATAATACTTTTCGGTAATAAATTATTTTGCAGAATCTTATGATCTAATATATTACTTTTTTGGATTCAACGAAATCTTGTATTATGCTGTCGAATTCCAAACTACGCAAAATGTCGTATTCAAATTAAAATCAATATTAATAAAAATGTAAAAAAAAAACTATGCAAGAAAATTTTAGCATATATTTTGAAAAGAGGGGAGGAGTGGGGACCCAAAAACGGCTGTGCCTAGGGCCTACGAAAGGTATAATCCGGCTCTGATGATGACTTATGAGATACCTTATTTATATTTCTAAACTCTAGGCCAAAATTTGTACCAAGACCTCTTTATTTTGTTTTGTTTTAGCTATGGATATTGGACTTGGGAATGGCAGAAAAAAATTAGAAGCTCTGTGTATCCTATTCTCATCAGTATTTTCTACTCAATCTTGCCTGATTTTAAGACTGTTATAGTGAGTGTATTTTTAGTGTTATTCGGTTTTGCAAAGTGAGATGTGACAATAACTATTATATATTATAAGGCAGTTATGTTTAAATTTGGTTATAGGTCAGTACTGTTGTAATATGTTTCTTATGTTCCTCTGAAATAGAGTAAAATCGATTTTTCTTATGCTATTAATTTATTTTATTGAAAAATTTTACATAGTTTAATCTAATGCTTTAAATAATGAATGTTTTAAATTTGAATTGAGTGGATACACTTTTGTTTCCTCTTTTTACTTATTTTATTGCCGTAGATTCATATCTACAGATTCTGTTGCAATAAATTTGTGGAGAAAAAAAGCTGTAATATGTTGGAAAAACAGTGGTCATTAATTTTTGAGAAAAGCAAATTTTTCATATATGTCTAGATCATGAAGAGAAACAATTTTTTGCTAAACATATGATCATAAATTATATTCATAAATTCGTTAGTTTTTTCTTCTTTTAGTCTTCGATGCTTATTTGCATCTACAATAATTTTAAGTCATCTTTTCACTTTGAAATATTTTTAGAATTTTATAAAATTATTATAATTTTATTTTCATTACTAGGATTTTATTTTATCAGGTGAAGTATTTCCTTTAATTACATGTAATAAAAGTAATTATTACTACTAATTATAAATTACTATTAAAAAGTGAATTAAAATTTATGCATGAGTTTTATTTACAACAGAAGTTATCTGTTATTGGTTTACCTCATTTAGTTACTACATCAAAACTTGTTAATTGATCAGTTTAAGATCATATAGATTTTAACTCAGGAAATTAACATAAAAAATAGCATTAAAAAATTGAAGGAATATTTAAAAATTTAAAATTTGAAAATTCTCTCTTATTTTTCTAGAATTGGTGTTCGAAGTTATTTTACCTAGTTCCTGCAATGAAACTGTAGGAGACATAAATGTGTTCACAATATTTACTCCTCATTCCCAAAAACTTTTACTTTTTTTTCCCCCAGTAGATTCTGTTGTAAGTTAATTTTAAAATGAAATTTTTTCTATCACTTTATTTATAATATGGCTGAGTGGTAGCGCTTCGCGCTGCCATGCCACAGGTCCTTGGTTCGATCCTTGGGCCGGGCAAGGCCGACTCAGCCTTTCATCCCTTCAGTGGGTCGATAAAATGAGTACCAAGCATGCTTGGGAACTAACACTGGGGGTTCCGCGTTCGGCTGACCACCTGACCGGAACATATGCTCCTGCACCCCAGAGCCCAAGGTCAAGAAAGCTGAGATGGGCACAGTCGGCCTTGGCCCTCTTAATGGGCTGTCGCGCCACTGAGTTAGTGTAGTTAGTTATTTATAATAATCTTTATTTTAGTTTATTGGATTTCATATATCCTGCCTCTCCTCTATGCTATTATCTAAGATATACTACTTGATGAAGAATTTAATTAAAGGAATTATACTGTATATGTGAAATCTTTATGTTAGAAGTTTAAAAAGTTTTAAAATTATTACTTAGCTAGTAATAAGTAAAAGATTATAAACATAAATAATTTTTATTTAGTTTATCAAATAAATTTCAAAGGTTGTTTTCTTACCTGACTAGTTGGATATCCTCAAAAATAGTCTTGTTAAGAAATGAATACAAAATTTTGAAATTACATTATGAGGAAAAATATTATTTATATAAATTGTTTTTATTGGATTTAAAACTATTCAAAAGTTGTTTGCTTACCTTACTAGTTGGATACCCTTAAAAATAGTTTGGTTAAAAAATAACTTGCTTAAATAATTATTCTGAATGTGAGTTTACTTATTTAACTAAATTATTTTTGTATGTATGCTAGATTATGTGTTACTCAGCTTAAAACATTGAAAACTACTGCATTTAAATTAAATATTCAATACAATTGTATAACCTCAAAAATTATGAAACCTACAAAAGGCAGATTTTTTTCTTCAACTTTTGACTAATAAAGCATTTAGTTTAAATTGATGCAAGTTTGAATAATAATACTATCACATTAAAAAATATCAGTAATTTAAAAACCTTTTAGAAGTTCGTACCAACAATTGCTGAAAAAGTTATAAATAAAATCTTCGGAATTTATGACAAAATCATTGCAAATAAAGCCTTTTAAGAAGTGATTACTCAAATGTATGCGTCCTAAAAGTCTATTATTTTTATTTTATAACCGACGTTGGATAGTCAACCCAATTTTGGGTTTACGACTACTAATGCTTAACTCTGTAGCCTTGTAATTTTGAATCCAACCCAGAAGACAAAGGAAACCCTGAATCAAGTATTAGGGGAAATTTGCCTTCATGGAGGACTTTTTGATGGAACTAACCCATATTTGCATTACATGGAGACAAAAACGTTCCACAGATAACCTAACGGCAAGGGGACTCTAACCCATGATCCGTCTACCACTGAGGATATTTTACTACCAGCCGCGTACGAAATTCGTATTGACCAGCCATCACTGGGATTCGAACCCAGTTCACCTCATTGGAAGGCGAATCCTCTAGCCACCACGACTCAATCTTCTGTTATTGTAAATATCAGAATTTTTTAACTTTTATAGCAACAACATGACTTCATGAATATATGAGGAAATTAACATGCCAGAGAGTCATTGGTTAATGTAATGTAAAATATGAAATTTGTGTGTCACAATAATATGCTATGGAAATTATCCAGGGTTTAAAAAATCATATGGAAGTTCATCGTAATAACTATTGAAGAAGTGGTTCACAAGACTAAATGAATCTATGATTGAATTGTCACAAATCACGGTCATTGAATCTTGGGATAAAAATATTATATGTTGTAATATGTACAATAAAATATCAAAAACTATATTATAGAAATCTGTAAAATAAATGGCCGGAAAAAAATGCCTCGTGGATTGTCTGACAAAATTGAACACTTTTTATTTTATTTTGGTTTCATAATTTTCTATTTGTATTGGTTTAATTTATTTTATTGGTTTTATTTATTTGTTCTATTGGTTATAGAAAAATGTTTAAAATCCAGAAATTTCTGAAGTCAGGATTTATGAAACCTCTGAGCAGTCTATATTTTTGTGGTCAAACTATAATTTTCTTGTGCAAAAATAGCATTTGTATTAAAATAACTAATGTAGTATTACATTAAAGTTAACTGTATATTTTTCAGATTCATTTTCCCCGTATTCTCCAGGCTCTTTTGTCTGCATTGGGTGATTACTATACTTTCAAATTAGCATCAAAGTTGTTTGGTTGTCACTGTGGTCAATGGACCGTCTTTAATATATGTTCATCCTGGTTTTTATTCTATTGCTCTCCAAGAACACTGACTAATATGGCAGAGACTTCTTTTACTGCAATTGGATTATACTTATATCCCTGGAAAATGAAACCAAACAAAAAGTATTTTTTTAAATAAATATATATGGATTTCTTTCTTTAATTTTTTATTGAATGTGAATGCACAGTGGTACTTCCATTTTCTGAATCAATTTCATTTGAATATTTATATTAACTAAAAAAAATTGAAAATTATTTTTTCAAGCACCCTTAGTTTTTTTCATACATATGCTGTTATAATTCAGTCCTTTGAGATAATATTAGATGTTATATAAAAACATTCTTTCAACAGCTCTTTGTAGACCAGAAGAGTCATTGTGGTTAATGTTCAACATTTTTTTTCAACTAACAAAATAGTTGTATAATTTGGTCAACATTGTGCATCAACAACCTTTACTTCCCAAATGTTCTTCTTTATTTGGGGTCAATTGATATTCTGCTAGGTGTACTTATGTGAATTAGGGATGTAGCGAATAGAGATTTGGCCAAATGCTGAATATTTGGCAGCCGAATAATAAACATTTTTATTAATGTTTTTTCTCTTTTCCCCTTACCAATAATACTGAGAAGTGTTGATTATTTTTCAATGGTGATTAAACTTATCTAAATATAAAAAATAATATTAATTAATAATTTTTTAAGAAAATATTGCTGTTCGGCTGCTGAATATTCGATATTCAGCCAAATCACTATTCATTACATCCCTATTTATTATGCTATTTAATATCATAAATATAATATACAAATCCTTACTTAGAGTTACTCATAAGTTAAACATGTAAATTTAAATGGTAAAAAAAAAGAAGAAAAAAATTTCCTTTCCCAGAACAGTATTTTTCCATTGGGGCAGAAACTTTCCACTCTCATTTAAATTTAGAATTTAAAAATGTTGAAACATTCAAGCTAGCATGTATTTTATATCCCTTTAATAATCATAATAATATTAAGCTAAATTTCCTTTAAACTACAGTAGGGAACCGATTATCCGGAACGATCGGGACCATCGTTATTCCGGATAACTGATTTTTCCGGTTTTCTGAATCGCTACAAAAAGCCGTTTTTTTATTGTTAAACACAAAAAAAAAAAATTTTTTTTTGGAAATAATCTTAAAAAGAAGAAAAAACGATGAAGTAATACACTAATGATTATTTCCAAAATGATGGTAAGGTAAACATCTTTCAAGAAAGAAAGAAAAATCGTAAAATCTTATGAGGAAAAAAATTTTTTTTTAAAAAAATCGTGGAAAATGTATCGAATTTTGTTCCGGTTTTTTGGTTTTCCGGTTGCCGGATAACGGGTTCTGTACTGTATTAGTAATAATAATAAAAAAATTAAAAAATATTGTGGCTAATTTAATACAATGGACATTATTACTCTAAAAGATCACATCACAACTAAATATGGATCAAGTAGGAAGTTATGTTTCATTCATTTTTGTGCGATAATTTTTTAAAATAAATTACTTAAAACCTGAATAAATTTTTGCATTTCAGAACTATATTTCTGGCAAAACTTTCCTCCCTCAGATGTTACTTTTTACCCACCAAGGGTTGAGCCCCTAGGTAAAATTGAACGAAAATTTTTCTGCTATACACTATTCTTCCATTGAATAACATAGGGGAAACCAGTGCAGCATAACTTGCCGGTAAAAGTTTGAAAAAATCCAGTACTCTCAGAGGGTTAAAACCACAAATATTAGGAATGGGAATTTAAAAAGGAAAGGAGTAAGTCATAACCACTCTAAAAAAACTAAGTAATTATTATTTCAATAATTTGCATATTTATTTGAATGGATTTTTCTTTGTAGTAAATAACAAATTAACTATTAAGAATGAAAGTAAAACTTAATTGTGACTTAAATATGCACAATTTTGTAAAACCATAAAAAAAAACATAACCTTTGATGTTTCAATAAAACTGATAGATACTTAGGTATTTATCAATTTTGGGTATTTATCCAGGTATTTCACATGTATTGTATTTTAAACCCTTCTGGTTGATAGAAATCCTATATTTTATGCAGCCTTAATTACTGCACCATAATGGCTCCTATAGCAAGATTATTAAAAATAAAACTTTATATTTTAGTGTTTATTGAGAAAAAAAATTAATGATCAATTTTACTTAAATATTTTGAATATTTTGACTATCCAAATTAGATTTATGCGAAGCCCAATGAATTAAGTCGTTACTATACCTTACATTACTTTATACAAAGCTATAAAGGTGTATTATTTAAATAATATTGATGTGAATTTTCTTATTTATTAAGATTTATTTTATTATTGCTTTAGAACAAGCTGTAAATATTTATGGTTTACTGGTGCAAGTATATTAATGAGACCAACTGCTATTGTGATGTGGATTGCATTATATGCATACCATGTTTGGAGAGAAAAATATATTTACCACTTATTCAAGAATACTTTTATCTCTGGGTGAGTTTTAGACATTTGATTTCAATTTTCTACAATTCACATTAGTAGTAATATTTAAAGGTTACTTAGTAAATGTGCTTTAAAATATTAAAATCGGCTACCTAGTACTGGAATTGTTTATTTTATACTTTTTTTATTGGTTATTATTATGTTTGTTATTGTATTTAAAGTAAAAACAAAATATTTTCATTACTTTTTATGACAAGTTTTATGAATTTTATTTTTTCCTAAAATATGAAACTTTTTAATTTTTTTATTCTTTTGTGATGGATTCCATATAAATGTTTGATAAAGAACAGTTATAAGAGTTAATTTAGTTTTTGTGAATCATTTTTCACTAATCTTGCAAATCTTATTAACATTTAACTTTGTTCTAAAAAGTTTCTTATTTTATATTAAATTCAAATGTTAATATGAATCTCTGTGCATACATTTGTATGTACTGTATCTATTACTTATTTCTTGGCACTATAAATTATATACACATTTCCAAACTTTCTGATGTTATAAAATGATGAATTAATTTTCCATTGAATGTAAAAAGAGATTTTTTCATACTGCAGATTCAAATAATTGAGAAATGATTTCAATAACTAACATAAATACTGAGAGTTATAAATAATAATTAAAAATGAGTACCTTTTTTTCCCTTCGGACATTCATGACAAACTTGAAGCCTTAACATGCTGATTTCAGCATGTGTGCCACACATTGATGAATTTTGTTCTATGTAACAGTAAAATATAAATTTTTTGTTTCTATTTTTTTAGTTTCTTTTTAATGTTTCATTTTTCTGGCAAGTTCTTTTTTCTTTAACTTTTTTTTATTTTCTTTAGGACCATTTTGTTTAGTTTTCTGATTATATGTGACAGATGGTGTTATAATCAGTGGACAGTAACTTTGTATAATTTTTTCTTGTTCAACTGGAGCAAAGATATTGGAATTTTTTATGGTAGTCATCACTTCCTATGGCTCTTAGTTGTTGGACTACCAGTAGTTTTGACCACTCTCATCATACCGTTCGTACTAGGTCTTACTATACGGAAGTTGAGACCCTTCTACATTTTAGTTCTATGGTTCATCTTGATATTCAGGTAAGTTATATTCTTCCTATATAACAATTGAAGTGATAAATTATGATGGTGTATTTTATATCTCATATAATTTCATTAAAATAAGGGATTCAGTTCAATGTAGCAAGAAGCACTTTGGCTAATACATGATATGACAAAAAAATTCAATAGTTAATGGAATCAGGTAAAATAATAGTGATATGTTCACAGGCATGTGATTCTTCCGCCAATTTAGGGAATTCTACAAATTTTAAGACCATTGATTCACAGATTTCCGCAAAAAAATTTATGTTCTGACAAATTTTTCTCGGAGTTCCTCTAATCTAAAATTTAAAATTAGATACTTACCTAAAATCTTGTTAACGAGACATTTATTCTACTCTTACCAGCATCCTCCTTTTTTTTTTCTTAAGTTCTCATTCACACGCTATAACAAACTTTTTTGCTCAGATTTCTTAGAGAAAAATAAAATTTTGGTTGAACTATTAAATCTTTAAATCTTCCTATTAAATCTTTACATTTTACTGATTAAAAAATTTGCTAATATATTTTAAAACCTCTCTGTAACACATGCTTATATAAAAACTCAAATGTGGATTCAATTGAAATAATAAAGGCAGTAATTAATTAAACTTCTAGTGTATTTGTAAAGTTTAAATTTTAATCTTTTTTTTCCTAAGTGTAGATATTGTGGTTTATAAAATTAACCGCCTTGTGAGAAAAAATGTTCCCAAAACAGACATGATTTTAATTGTCAATTGGCATTATATGGCCAAAAGTTTTCTTTTCAAAATGCATGAAAATTGATCAAATGAAGCTTTAAATCCATGGATTGATGAAGATTGGTGTCAGGTGTTAGTAATTTAGACTAACAAAAGGCATATTCATTGAATTATTCAATAATTATTTTTTGCTCAGTTTTGCACTTTAAAGTGAGATCGCAATTGATTTAACAATATGTTATAATAGCTATTCACTACCGAAATATACTTGTAGTGCTTATCATTACTAGGATGTTCTAAACTTAACTTTATTTTAAATTTAGATAGAGAACCTATTGCGGGATAATTAAAGATTTCATGAAAAAATACTTAAGAAAATTTTATTTATTGAAATTGCTCAAACAAGTGTTAGTTAAAAATTCATTCTTTTTTTAAAATTTAATTACTTATTATGTCAGGTTGATGAAGATTCTTATATTAACAGATCCTTACCTCAATTATTTGAATAATTCTAAGTTTAGTTATAATAGTCATGAAAAAAGTAAGTTTTGTTTTTTTAATTGTGAAAATAATTATCTTTACAAACCTCACAATCTTACTTTATGTTTGTAATAATGTTTAGTTCCTTAATAATTCTAATTAATTATTTTTACCTTAGTATTCCTAGTCACAAGGAGTTTCGTTTTTTACTACCAGTGATGCCAGTATGCATGATCATAACCGGTGTAGTAATGACTGAAATTGCCAATGAAAAAGTGCAACTTTATAGACTAAAAATTAGCAAAAATTTGAGCTCATATTTGGCATTTTCTTCCATTTTATGTAATGCCCCCTTGTCTATATATATGAGTGTCTTTCATCAAAGAGGGACCATGGATTTGATGCACCATATTTCCCATATTGCAACAGATGACTCAAAAATACTGTTTCTAATGCCTTGTCACTCAACACCATATTACAGGTATAGATATTTCTGGATGAATATTAGGTTGCAGTAATTAATATTTTGTTTCAATATTGTTATGTATTGAAAGTACATATATTTTATGTAATTAATTTATGGTAGCATGCATGGTTTAAAGATACTCATAAACTTGTTGAAACGCTCATCAAATTTATTGCATATTTAAGTCTTTAAAATTTAAATGTTAAATTTAGAGTACTTTTTCTAGATGCTTATTGTTTGAATTAATGCTAATGCCTCAGAAAAAGTGTCTGATAAAAATTTTTTTTTTTTTTTTGCTCTGCATGCTATATACAGTGAAACCTCCTGTTATGGACAATCCTACAAAACGGACGCCTCTCAATACGGACATATTTTTAATTCCCCGGGACTCTTCTATGAATAAACCATTATGTACATTCTCCGCAAAGCGGACACTCCTGTAACCAGACGCGGACAGTCATTTTGGTCCTGCAACGTTGTTTTTTATCTCTACAAACCGGACACTACTTTTTCTAAATAAATTGCAAGCTAAAAAATGCAACTTTTCACCATTTTTAAAGCATGTAAACAAAACTTTTTGCCTTATCCATAACTAAAAATATTGTTAAGTTATTTCACCACCGAAAAATCAATCTTTCTCCTGTCACCTTGACTTATCTTTGTAAAGAAAGGAGAGAAAATGGTACTGCACTCCTGAAATAATTCTGACATCGGCATCTTTTCATCTTTTCATCTGGATCACACAGGTTATGAGACCCCTCAAGTTGAAATGACTTCTCTCAATGCTTCTTCCCCATTGAAAATTTCTTTAATTTTCTTATCAATTTGAAGACTGTATTTAACACAACTGGGGTAAAAAAAAGAGAACAGAAGTATAATCTTTGAGGTGTTTATATAAATGAAACACTTATTCAGACACTTGATAGCTGATCATTTATGAATAATCATCTCCATAGGTCCTCATGATTTACAGGTATGCATTACTTTTTTTTCTGTGAATCATGGAAGGTTTATTTTCCAAGAAGGTATTAACCATGTTCCCTATCAAATGATAAGTAGGTGTAAGGGGATGTGAACCTAATAATTGAAATGGACTGAGGAAAGTACGCTCCTATTTGGTATCATATGTCTAACTTGAGTATCTATGCTAATAAGAAAATTATATTTAATTATCTGTAGCAACATCCAGAATTATGTATTTATATCAAACTTCTTTATCTATTCTTTTTTATCTTTCTTATTGTTTAAATAAATATTCTTGTAGATATTTATTGAGAATATTCTAAAAACAATTTACGGTGTTAAATTTCGTTATTAGGGTACCTTTTCCGTAAACGGACAACTCTCATAAACGGACAAATTTTTTGATCCCATGAATGTCCGCTTAACGGAGGTTTCACTGTATATGTTTTAATACATATATTAATTTTTTTAAAAGGAAATATGTAAAAATATTTGAATTGGGAAAAATAATTATTGCTTGCTACATCCGATGTTTGTTATAGTTAGGGCTCTATAAATACTATTGAAATATTTTTAAAATTGTGCAGGCAGGTTGTGGTTGATCTAGAAAACTACTAAAATAAAAAATATAAAAAAATAAATTAATCTGAACAATTTGAATCTGTAGTGTAGTATTTTTCTATTATAATAGAGATAAAAGCATGTGTCAGTTTTTGATGAAGCAATGACCTATGATGAATGGTTGGAAAAACTATATTATTTTTGTAGTTTACTGTAACTACTTTGTTACAAATGTAGTTAACTACAACATTTTCCTTTCAAATGTAGTGATTACAAACTACTTTGGAATTGTAGTAACTACTTCACTACTTTAAGGAGACGACTTTGCTGGAGAACTTAATTTACACCAATGTTTAAAAAGATTTTGAATAAGAAATTGGCTTACATTAAATATAAAGGAACGATTAAGAAACATTTATAGATGTTTACATGAGCCAGTTTGTTATTCCAAAACATTTTTTACGAATTTGTTCATCTAAACTTTGTATGCTTTTTTCAACCATGAATATTTAATTTAAGATATGTCAAATTGTCAAATACTTGCAATTTTTTAATTATTTAATGCTCTTGTATTTCTTCTAAAATTAAGTGCATCAAAAATACGTTCCCTTTCTTTGAAATAACATTAATGTTTCATGAGTGCATTCGCATGTGAAATTGCGACCAAAGTATTAATTATCTATTTTTCGTAATGGCTAGTTTAAATATTATTTATACGTCATTTTAAATAACATGTAATTTCTGTTAATGCTCAACTGCAGCCACAGGGTATTTTTTTTTTTTTGCATCCATTAACGTACCCGCGAAGATTTGTTCCCATCAAATTCGAAAAACTAGTTGCGTTAGATCTGTATTCTTAATGTGTTCCGAAACATTAAAAGTAGTTGCCAGGAATAACTACAAACTGCTGTTTTTTTTATCGTACTCCTCGCTACACTAGTTTATCAAAAAAGTCCCACTCTACACTACAAACTATGAACGAAAGTAGTGACTACAGTTGTTTTACTATTTGTAGTGTGCTACTTTGGACCACTACCTATGATGTGTTAAATATACTATTTTACATTAAGTGTATCAGTCTAGTGATTCTCAACCTGATTTACTCAAAGGACCAGTAAAATACAGGGTATTTTACTGGTCCTTTACTGGTGCACCTGGAAAATCATGAAAAATTATGGAAAGTCCTGAATTTCGGTATTGAACAAAATTTGTCATGAAGTGTCATGATTTTAACTATTTTTTAAATAAAATCATGGATTTAGGTTGCCGAAAATTCTATTTTTTAAAATGGAATTTACCCCCTCCCCCAATTTCATGGTGCTCTGAGTATCTGAATATGTAACAAAATCTCCACTCAGTCATATTTTATTAAAATATAAAATGTTTTTATCCTGTTCTTTGAAAATTATGGTGTTCTTTCAAAAATGAAAGAAAAAACATAATTTCTAGAGCAATTATCTTATAAACTTCTGTGGTTTCAGAATTTTTAATGTTATTTTTTTAATTTTATCAATTTAAAATTCTAGCTGAAGCAAGCTAGTCACAGGCAAAAAGAGTTTTTTTTGGAAGGGAGAACAGAAAAATCCGGAGTATTTATTTTCCTTCTGATGAATAAGAAAAGTATCTTTAGAATATAATTCTGCAGATAAAAAAAAAAAAAAAATTATTTGCTTTTGTATTTTTTTTAGCTATTTTATTGCTTCAACTCTTTCATTACTCTGTTTTTAAATATAAAATCTATAAATATGAAGAGGCAGAGTATAACAGTTTTGGTTATACCTATCATTTCAATTAATGTTATTATAATGCTTTTTTAAATTTATTGTTGTGCTTTTGTTGGAGAAAACATTAACTTCCTTAAGTCATGAAAAATACATGGCATTAGTCATGGAAAGTCATGAATTGGAAAATCTAAAATGTAGCAGATACCCTGAAAATATTTCCGTGTTTTATTGTGGTTGAGTTGTGAATAATGTTATAATTTTTACATACACAAATTTGTAGCTCTTATACAGTTTTTTTTTACCAGTTTGTTTATGATTATTCATATGCTTTACAATGAAAACTATTTTGAGCCTTAACTATTAATGAATTTTGTATTAATTTTGATACAAATTAAGCGTTTAATAATCAACATATCTTTCAATCTCATGATTATTTTGTGTTAAGCTTTTAAAAATTTGAATATTTACTAAAGATATGAAGTTCGAATATAAATTATTTTTTTTCCTGACATTTTATGTTTGACTATTTTTGAAAATTAAAAAAGTTTCTACATGATTTCTAAAGTATGATTGATCTTTCAGCCATGTTCACAAAAACATTAGTATGAAGTTTCTGACTTGTGAACCAAATTTTGAAGATTCTGTGAATTACAAGGATGAAGCTGATGAGTTCTTCCAAGATCCTAGTAAATGGCTGACTTCGTTTTATGAATTAGATTCGAAAAAAATATATCCATCACACATTGCTATGTTTGATTCATTGTATGATCAAGTGTCCATATTTCTTGAGAGACATCGTTATTATTTGTGTTTTAGGACGTTCCATTCACATATTACAGAAAATAAGAGAGGAAAATATGTTCTTTTGTATTGTAAAAGTTAATTGCAGTAAGGAAACTTATGTACATATATTTGTATTTTATGATGCTTTATTCAAGTTTGTAACCTCATATTGTCTAAGTAATTAGAATATAATTTTTTTCTTTTCTTATTACATCTATTTTTTAATCATAATACTATTATTAGTAAGGATAAAATGTGACATAATTCCTTCAAAAGTAAACAAAAAGTCTTTTTCCTTTTCCTTAAAATATGTTTTAGCACTGAAAAACTTATTTAAAACATTGTATACATATATTATTAAAACTCTGTGCTATGGATTTAATATATTGTATTTATGTATTTATAATTCTATAGTGTTTAAGATTCACTTAAAACTGGTACAAATGTTATCCATACCTTTTTCCTTATATATGTCATTGGCTTACAAGGGAAGCACATCCAGTATATTCCAATTTTGAGTTGTTTTTTTTAATGTTAAAAATGATATAATTTTTAAAAAGGTAAAACTCATTAAATGATATTCTTATTAAATACAAATTTGTTATTAATATTATCATAACATTATTGTTATTTGATCTATAAATATCCCGAAACTAAAATCAATTGGTTTTTGAAATGACACTTAAAAAACTTGTCAAAATTTGACAAAAATTGTCAAATACCTGGAGCAAGTTTCTCTCCTATTATTGGGAACATTTTATTATAAATCAAGCTGCATAACTATTTAAATTGTGCTCAATACTTGTGTTGTAATTATTGCCATTATTGTGGTTCTTTTTTATTTATCATTTACAAAAAAATAACTGCTTAAAAAAATAAATGATAAATAAATTAACTCTTTTATTTAAAACAAAATGCATTGTACTATTGAAATCTTAAAGATCGTCATTATTTTATATATTACAGTAAAACTATTATTATTCAGTTCAGCTGTCGCTTAGCCAAGCAATGTTAACCGACAATGTGAAACTTGTTACACTAAACTTATTAATAAAGACAACTGTGATTTTGTAACACATTCTAAAAGCGTTTGTTCAAACCCTTGAATCGCAAGTGATGTTTTGAAATCAAATAGTGTTAATGTCAACACATTAAATTCCATTTGGGACAAAATTGAAGATTTATTACAATTTCCTTTCTTGGGGTGATAAACACAGTTTCACGAAATCTGTCATAAATTTTATTCTAACGACAAGGATGCATTTCATTTGTAATAAAGCTAACAAGATTGAAATGTTCAATTTCAACAAAACAAATTGATAAAGAAAATTATCTAAACTATAAAATGTTGTATGCAAATTTGATAAATAATTTTATTTATTTTTTTTTAAAAATAAAAGATTTGATGTGATTTACTTGTATTGTTTTAATTTTTACTCTGCTTTTTGAACTTTTAAATTTTTAAAATTTTTTTTTAATCTTTTTAAAGTTAAACTTCATATTTTGTCAATATTTTAATTTTAAAAAATTACTACACTTAATACTACATTAAGATTTATACCTAAATTTTAACTATTTGTATATTTTTGGCACTGACTTTTTATAGGTTAATAACAGTTTCTATAAGTATTCTCTCTCTCTAGATTACTTGACAGTTTTGTAAGCATTCTCAGTTTCTTTTCAGATAACTGATTCTTAATGGGATTTTCTCAGTGTAATTGTTTTCCAATTTGTGTAGTTGAAGTTGTCTTTTTTTCTATTTCTCAGAATATATTATAGTCTCACAAATTGCATATTCATTTTGCTTACATTCGATGGCAATTGCTCTCTAATATGAAGTTTAAAGAATTTTACTTTAATTATAACTTTAGAAAATAGCATTTATTTTTTCTTATTAATTCATTTTATTTATTCTATTTAAATTGTTAGATCTGAAAAAATTGATTTAAAAAAAATCTTGTTATTTTAGTCTTTTTAATTTTTTTTTTCTCTTTTATGAAATATAATGTTTACATTTTATCCTCTTTACTTTTGTGATAAGTTTCTGCCTGGATATTTCATTTATTTATGTTAAACATTGACTTTGTTTATTCATAGGTACTAGTAGTTCAACTCTATTATAGATATTTATTTATGATAAAAATTTTTGTAAATTTCTTTTTTAAATTTTTATCAGTTTAATTTTGTTTTTGTTAAATTTTTAAAATTTTTTATAACTTATTTCAAAACATTTAAATTTTTTATCAACATGATTTTTCTTTCTGATTTCTAAATTTTTCACTATTCAATTACTATTAATTCAAAAACTATCAATTTCAGTTTTTTTTTATAAATTTCTACAGTCACTGGCTCTTGACTATTATATGAAATTTTAACTATTTCTGTTGTAGTTTGTTTTCTTGGAAGATTTATGTAAAATGCTGTCAAGAGAGTATTATTTAAAGAATAATGACGTCACATTCAAACTATGAACTGGATTGTTTGAAAAGTTGAATATCCAGCAATTCTTCATATTTTAAAAATTGAAGGAATTGGGAACTCACCCAGTCATTATTTTGATCATAACAAGCAAGTATCTTTATTTTTTGAAGGTTGATACTTTTTACTATCTCCCATGATGACCCCATATTAGATCCCAAGTTATCTCCGAGAAACATTTTGTTGCATTGCTTGTTGTTATGTTTTAATTTGGGTTTAAAAAGTAAAATTAAAGATATTCCAAACCTTTTTTTTATTATATTTTTCAACACACTACAAATTCTAAAAAAAAATAGTGTTAGTTAATTCAATAATCAAACACTCGATTCTTGTAACACTTATATGAGATCTGACTATTCCTCCAATTTTTTTGGAAAAAGAAATTAAACTGTTGTTTGATTGAGCACTCAGGTAAGTTAAAAGTGTTTTCTGTTTCTTTCAGAACTTTATTTTTTTTCTATGTTTGATGTGATATACTATTAATTTTAAAGCTTTGTCACTTTAAATGCATCATGTACCGATTTTTTAAATTATTTGTTCAATTTCAAATCCAGAACATTTTGAGAACATCTGAATAAGCACTGACTGAATCCTATCTCAAGTTAAATGCCTATCCTTTTGTAATACATACTGATTTGTGGTGTGTAAATACCAAAGCGAAGCATACATGTTTCATAAATTTAACTGAGTGATCTGTAAAGACCTTCCGTAATGTATATCAGTAAAATTTTTTTCAATGGATCTCAAATTAATGTTTGAGCGTAGAAAAAAAGCTTAATAAAATTTCGCAAATCTTTACCGAGAAATGCTTGTCAAAAAGCATCAAGACATGTCTGATTAACATAGGAAATGAAAGGGATTTAAAAAGAAATTATTAGATACACCTTCTAGTGTTATCAGGCAATCAAACTAGTTTTATAGTTTTTTTATCGTGCCTTTCTCACAATAAATAAAAATACAGTTTTTAATTTTAAATTAAACATTGTGAAAAAAATTTATTTCAGATTAATTAATAAAATGTTATTTCAGATAAACTTTATCAGTTTTGTAATCTGCTTAGATCCTTTTGACTATGTTATCTTCATTTAAGACAAAATAATAATAAATAAAAATGTACTTTAATTTGTAGAAATTAAATATTGGATTAATAAAATCAAATCGCATGCAAATCTTTTATGATAAAAATGAAGAAGGATTCACTTAATTTTTATACAAAAGTGACCTTGCTGCCATATTGAGTAGTTTGAGGGATAGCGTTAACTGTATTCAGTGCTTGGAGTGCCAATCTATTAGCAAGTCTGGCTCGACTCATAGACTGTAGGTACTGGTCCTGAGCCATGTTTATGTACCTTCTGTACTTTTTGCATTCCTGCTGTTCTTTGGCTTCTTTTTGCATGTAACGTATCATCATGAATCCAATGCAAAAGGAGTAAAAGAATAGCACAACCACTATATACACAACTGCATCTTTCTGAGATTCATCATAATTTGTAGACGTGGCATTGATGTTATTGTACTGAGTACTCGAATTGTTATTTTCCATGTAGTCTCTAATTATTCGGGTAATGTTTGGACAATCAGCGATGATAATCATTCCGCTGCGTTGAGTTTTACCTGTTCCATTCTTCACCATTTTTATTTTGTTATTGATTGTTTTTTTTTTTAATAATAGTTAAATCGTTCACTTATTTGTCATAACTGTAGGAGTTAGATGATACTTTGAACTAGAGAATGTGCACTTCTCGAACCAGAAATTGCTTCAGGGTCTCTTTAATTCCATGAAGTAGTTAGAGTACCTGAAAAAAATATAGATATATTTAAATGATATCAATATTCAGATGAACGTAAATGAGTACTTTTTGGTTGGAATAGCACAAAATAATCTAACGATTTTTTAAATGTTTTTTTTAAAAGCATTTTTTATTTATTTTTGTAAACGCCCATTTTGTTGAGTGTTTAAAAAACAAATGAAATTGAAAAAATAAAAAATTGTTGGTGGAGGTCTGCATTTTTTGATGAATTCCCGTTTGCTCCTGGCTGACCGAAAAGCATCCGTAATTCCAATATAAAATTGAGTCAACTGAATCAATTATACAGCTGCTAATTTGAACAATTATTGAAGAAACTTTTTTCTAGTTATCTTTGTAAATAAGGCAGAATGTTTAAATGTATGTATGTAAAATTGTATCGTATACAAATCCATATTTCTATACGGATACGCAATAATCATAGTGTACAGTAGAGTCTCGAAAATTCGAGATGGACGGCACCAAGCCATGCATATGTTCGAAGACACGGCGGACCTAACTTTCTACTTAAAAACTCCCTCCGACCACCGGTGCGTTCGCTACATCTCAAAGCAAAAGTTTTCATAAGATTTGATAAATATTGGTAGACCCATGTCCAAGAGTTTGTGGGTTCGATCCCAGCCAGCCGAAGACTCCCCGTGTAGTAAATGGTGACTGATGCACGTTAAATCTGTCGAGTCGCAAAGTTCTCCATGTTCCCATAACAAATCAATACTCCTGAGGGTACTGATCCAGGAGTTTCCTTGTCTTCTGGATTGGTTCAAAAATACAAGGATGCGGAATTGAACATTAGTAGTCGTAAACTCAAAAACTGGGTCGGCTGTTCAGCGACGGATATACATAAAAAAAAATTGGTAGGGCGCTGGGTCCCTGTCCAAGAGGTCATGGGTTTCGATCCTCGCCGGCTGAAGACTCCCCGTGTAGTAAATGGTGACTGATGTACGTTAAATCTGTCGAGTCTCAAAGTGCTCCATGTTCCCATAACAAATCATACCTCTTGGGGGAATATCCTTGTCTTCTGGATTGGATTCAAAATTACGAGGCTACGGAGTTGAACATTAGAAGTCGTAAACCCAAAATTGGGTCGGCTCACGTTAACTCGATTTCTTCAAAATTCATGATGTTTTCAATCGAGATTCTTCAGTTATTCTTATGGATTTCAACATAATTTTTTAAATTCTTATTTTTTTAACAAGATATTATTACAAAACTCGAAAACATAAATTTGAGGAATACGCGACAGTGCTAAAATAAGGAAAAATATGACTATTCATCACCAATGGTTGATAAAAACACTGGTGAGAATGTGCAAAAAAATTGCCCTCGAGCTCAATTCTTAGACCGATTACAGCATATAATTATAAAAAAAGGGTTATGTATTGGATGCCATGAATGTATAGTAAGGTAAAATGATGATATTAAGGTACTGATCAGTTTCGGAGGACATTAAAAAATCTATTGCCACAGTACCTATTTTATGCACCTTTGTAAAATAGACTTTCATTACCTCAGCCCTTATAACGGGAATACCTATTGTATTAATTTTAATTACTGGTATTGATGATAATTTGACGATTTCTTTCTGCCTTCGAAATAAGTATCGATGGGTGTTCATATAAAATGATTATAGAATTCTAACAATATGATAATAATTACATTTATTATGATTATTTTCGAGAATTACCTTTATTAAATATTGGTAATAGGTGTAAATTGAATTAAGTTTTATATTAAAAAGATAAATTAATTCTGAACAGAAATGGAACTTATTCACATATGAGAACCGTATGACATTGCCATATTATTATTGGCGCTAATGATATAATATACTTATAAGGCTTATTGCAATAAGCGTAATAAATGACGTCGGATTTTTCAAAGTCTAAGATATACGTCAAATCGTAGTTCGGGTTCGAATCCCGGTGATGCTGGTTGATACGAATTTCGCACCCGGCTCACATTGACCGCAGTGCTGATGAAAAATATCCTCAGTGGTAGATGGATCATGATTTGAGTCTCCTTGCCGTCAGGCAAACCCTGGGAGGTTTCGGTGGTTTTTCCTATCCATGTAACGGAAATGAGGGTTAGTTCCATTAAAAAATCCTCGACAGGCATATTTATCCCA